TGCATATCCCATCTATCTCCCTAATTACGTCAATTGCCTGTGGCACTTCGATTCCTTTGTCCTCTACTTTGTTCTTCACAATTTCCACAATTTATGCTAAAAAGTAAACAAAAATCGTTTGAATATTCAATCCGAGGGCGCATCAGTGGGCATTGCTCACCCTGTTTACCTACTTTTCTGTTCCGTCGAGAAGATAAGAATATTTTCCGTATTTTCTTCCTTTTTGTGATCCTTTGTTTTGGGGATGCGTTTAGCCGCAGATTTATTGCCTAAGCCATCCTAGTCTCGTCTCGATATCTCAACTTCTACCCCTGAGGGACCTTACCCAAATCGATCGATGATATTTCAATATATTCATTGGCAATTCTCGCACTTTGTTTGGGCAGCCTCGCTGACCCCTGCCGAGGGCATCGCCATCGGAAGACCTTTTTGCATAAATCTTGGCTATCAATGACCACGAGGACAGCTAATAGGATCTTCATTTGCGAGTGTTTTGTCGACACTTTTTGAGGATCTTGGCCACTTAGGGATGCAGATGTCGGACAATGGCCTAAAATGAAGTCATCCCGTGACAATGCAAATGCGAGAAGTGCTCGTGAGGGGCAGTTTGCATCTTGGACTGACCAACCCCCCAAACGGGCACGCGTCCGAGTAATCTTCGTCGATCAGAGCTGGTCAAGAACGAGTTATAGGATATGCATACATATTTTCAAGGGTTAAGTGACCAAAGGGTTGTCGAGCGGCTATTTTCAGTGGGTCAGTTTGGCACGCGACTTCCCATGAACTTTACCTGATTCCAGTTCTTGCATTTAATATAAATTGGTCCTTAATACAAATCATATATTTCAATAAATATTGGTTATTATAAATACGAAATATATTAATTATTACACGCATTTCTTTTGATTCCCGATATTTCCTAAAATGTCAAATTAAGAGTAGTTGACATCTTAGAACGTTTTAGAAAAGATTTTAGATAATTTAGTCAGAACATGTCGCAGTTTAATAGAAATCTGCTTCGATTTATAGTTCTGGATGGAACCCATTGTCGCTGCTCATTTCCCATGAAAAGTTCCCTGCGAATTCCTTGAGAAATGTCCGTTAACTCGAGAACATGCTCGGGTTCGGGTTCAGCAAAATGGCTGACCTCTGGCCACAGAGCTTCCCGAACGGGACAGAGTCTCGCTGGGAACAAACTGAATAGATAATTTGAATGCATGACCGCAGGAACCCTTTGAACCCGGTCGCCATTGTCCGTCTGTCCCTCTGCCCGACTCGGATGGAAGCTGCTGCGGCATCAGCAAGAACAGGATCTGGATCGGGACGATGTGTCAGTCGCTGGGAGGCGACACCCAATATCCAGGCTCGGGTCGCAGCATCGTTTCAGTGCTTCCCGGCTGACCAGATCCGGCTGTGGACCGCCATATGTCTCATATGCTTATTCCTGCAAGGGTTCCATCCTTTCGTCCTTTTTTTTTTGGTAGATTGTTCTGTCGAAATTTTCTTCGCGGCCTTCCCGAAAATTAATGCCAATGTCCAAACCGGTTTCCTTGTGATTTTCAATTTTGATTCGTGGTCGCGAGTCCGGTCCGGTTTTCTCGGCTGCGAGGTCCTTCCAGCGACCCTTCAGCATCAACCCTTTGTTGTTTTCCCTGTCCCGTTTCCGAGAGGATGCGCAAAAGCGAATGAAATTGCAGCTTTCGGCTTCATTGTGTTTGGCCTGACCCGAAGGACAAGGATTAGATGAGAAATCTTTTTCTCAACTTCTTGTTTTGTTTGGTTTTTTTTTGGTCACATCCTTGAAAGCATCCTCTAGAAATAACCGTTATAAATTAGCGGTGGCAGGAGAAACGCTCAGAGGCCAGAAAATGGCGGCCACAGGGCGTGACAACTGACCATCAACTGATCTCAATTAGTCCTCGTTCGACGGCCACGCGTCTGAAAGGATGACCGCTCGAGATGACCCTTCCAGCAGAGAAACCTGTTTGACCACTCAGTAAGACATTCATTATCCTTTAAGGACTGGCACACGCGCCGGCCATTGGTCAGCCCCTAAAGAGATAATCGGCGACTTATCACTCGAGTCGCCATTGTCCATGAAATCTACGAATTCCACTACGATTATAATTGGATAATGACATGATTTTATATATATTTATACATTATTATCAATTGATTTAATTGGCATTAGGCATTTTCCAAGGATCAGTGAGGAAGTACACAAAAAGTGCAAAAATAGCCAACAAATATATTGAAATATTATCTATCTATTAGGTGAGATCTTCTTGTAATTGAAACAAGAAAGATCTGAGACGAAAACTAATTACAAAAGGAAACAATATGCAGAAGATATTCTAATCGACAGTAGGTAAGTAGGGTGAGCCATGCCCTTGGATTGAATATTCAAACCATTTTTGTTTACTTTTTAGCATAAATTGTGGAAATTGTGAAGAACAAAGTAGAGGACAAAGGAATCGAAGTGCCACAGGCAATTGACGTAATTAGGGAGATAGATGGGATATGCATTCTCAAATGATTCCCTGAGTTTTTCTCACGTTGATATCTTGGATAGATCTTCCTCTCCTAAGGAATATTGCACTATTAAATTAGAGCTCCAGCGACAATTAAAACCCCATGAAGTGGTCTTTTCCTCCTGGCTAATTGATTTCCCAGTGTAATGCTAATTCCAAAGCTCGGACCGAAATAATAGGTTTCGCCTCACAGGACACGAAGGCTGAAATAACTCCAATCAACCGACTCAGTAGCAGTAACAACATTGAAAAAAAATTTTCACTTTCGAAACACATTTGTAACTAAACATGAAATTGTCATATGCAAATTCACGAGGCAAATGAAAAAGCATAAAAGCAGAAATATAATGGATCCTCCTTATATGTACTACGGATTCGGAATGTACGGGCTTTTGTTAGCATTTTCATGCAGATTTCCATTCTCAGTTGCCATTTTGCCGTGCGGCCTGGAACCTTTTCTGTAATCAATAGCTGGGAACTCGGGCTAGTCCGGCTGCGTTATCCATGTCACTCAATTATGGCAACAATTGGTAAATCCACTTCATTCTAATTCCCAATTCGCCAACCGAGTGACAAGCCATGTCCCTGCTCCGTACGCCTCTCCTCCTCTTCTCCTCTCTCCGAAATGCAAATTCAAAATCAATCGTTCCCCTCGCCAATCGATTTGTTCGATGTTCGGGGGATTTCCTTGCTGATTTGCATAAATTTCCGAGCTGCGCGCGTGCGCAGTCGCTTTAAGGTCCTGAAATGGTAACATAACCCTCCTCCTCGCCGCCGACGGAAGTGCAGGTCCATTTGCATAACACTAGCTATCGAGGCTGGTGATCCGATGCCGAATGGTGAGCCCAAGGCTCTGCTGTGCCAAAATTATGCAAATGGCTCGGCGTGCCAATATTTTACAGCAATAATTTATGCAAATTACGATTCGCAAGGGTCTCTTTGGTGCGCCTGCGCAGCGGATGTTACATGTCGCCTTCGTATTGGAACGGAAAACGCTTTTAAGGGTTTGCCTAGGTTCAGTATTTCTGCGAACGTTTTTTTTATATGCAAATTTTTTCGCGATGGGTTTACGTATTTTTGGCATTTTTAATTGTGTTTTTTTGCACGATTGTAATGCAGATTTTTTTTCTCGATTGTAATTTTAATTTCGAAACCTTTTGCTATGGCGCCAAAAATTTTGAGTTTTTATTTTTTGCAATTGAATGGATTTCATTCGATTTTTTGAGGAACGGGAAGACAGCTGCTCCAGTTTGCAACCGCGCCATTTCCTTGGAATCATTTTGATTTGCCATTTCACCGAAAAACCAATTTTGGTGCAAACAATTTGCATAAAAATGTGATCCTTGATTCGGACTCTGTACTTTGTACAATTTAAGATTTGATTATTTTCATGGAAATTTCTTATTATTAGTGTGAGAAAGTTACGAACAATTTCTGGAAAGATTCCTTTAGATGTTTGTATGACTTAATCTGAGCATTTTAATTAATAATGGAGTATTGCAAAGATTACAAAATATATGTTAGGTTTAATAAAATCATGAAATCTTAAAATACCTAGCTTATTGTTATTAAGTAGCTTTAAACTTCATTGGTTTGTTTTATTTAGACATAATTTATTTATATCAAATCTCATTGAACTCTTTGTTTAAAAAAAACGATGCTTAAATGGTAAACAAATCGAAATATATATAAAATATATTGTAAATAAACAATTATAATTTGAATTTATAGCCCTATCTAAAAAAGTAACGTATTTTTTACAATAAATTCATATTGATTCAGTCATTTAGATAAATATCCCTATTATATTTACTTTTTTGTGCAAATTTTACCCTGAAAGATAATATTAAAATTCCTTTGCTGATTCATGTTTCTCCATCTCTTTCATTACCGCATGGCTAAAGGGAGATTCCTTTACAACGATTTCCTTTCTCTTTTGAATTCTATCGCATTTTTTACCTAAAAAACCTCTCTTTTCTAGATAAATTTACATGAATGCTGGCGTTTTATTGGTCGAGAAAAAGCGAGCGAAGAAAAAACGGGAATCGGACCTAAAAACAAGCTGCCTGAGCTACCGAGTTTTCCGAACAGAGAGCATTTTCCAGCAAAAGGGTCGTTAAAAAACAGGGGGTTGATTGAGCCACCACCACCGTTTGTTTGTTAGTTTTTTAAGAGAGCCGAAGACTCGATGAGATCGGTTTTTTAAGAGTTTGGCGGAGAGGGTTGCAGAGATGATTTCAGCAGTTTTTCCTATATTAGCTGGAGGCCGCGGAAGAGTTGAGCCAGTTTGAGCCTCGCAGCCGAACTTCTAGGATCGATCGTGGCAAGACAAAGTCGAGAAATCTGAGTGCTGAGTGTTGCAAAAAATAAGAAGAAAATCTTAAAGAAAATAAGAATCTGCAAGGATTCTTTGAACTTTATAACGCAATCCAATCGTGCTGTGCCGTGCCGTGCTGTTCTTTACACAAAATGTCCAATCAAATGGAGTTTATTATGCAGCTCTACATGATGAACTTGCTGCAGCAGCAGCAGCAGCAGTTGCAGCAGCAACAGCAACAGCAGTCGCTTGCTGGATACACTTACACACAAAACGAGGATATCTCCAGCAGCACTTGCCTGCAGCAGCAACATCAGCAGCAACATCAGCAGCAGCAACAGCAGCAGCAGCAGCAAGACGAGCATCCGCAGCCAGAAATCGTCAAGACAAGAACGCACAAACGAATTAGCTCGCAAAACTCCAACAGTAGTAGTAGCCGTAGTTGTAGTCCCAATAGTAATTTGATTGCTTTACAACAACAACAAATACATTATACTGCAGCCACGCCCCCAACACCTAACACCCACAACAACAATCTAGTTGGCCAAATGTTGCTGAACACACTGCCGCCACTCACCCAGTACATGTTGCAGCAACACCAGCAACAGCAGCAGCAGCAGCAGCAGCAACATTTGTTGGCAACATCGAACCTCCTACTAACACCCAAAAATACGCCCAACAATTCCATGTCCTCGAATGTCCAACAGTTTACCACAAATAATTTTCTGCAATCCTCCACAGTGACATCCACGCCAATCGAGAAGCCAGCAACACCAGCAGCAACATCAGCATCCTCAGCAGCAGCAGCAGCAGCAGCAGCAGCAGCAGGATCTGCTGCGGGTGAAGGCAACCTTTCGGCGGTCACAGTCAAGTTTGAGCAGCATTTCGCCGATGACGAGGAGAACGACGACAAGCCGCTGTCCAGCATCAACAGCTGCAGCTCCTCGGGCATGGCCAGCAACAGCACCAACGCCAGTTCCGAGAAGCTGCTCCTGCTGTCGGGAGTCCATCCGCTGGAGTCAACCTCCGACAGCGTTGACTCGCCCAGCATGGTAAGTGATCCAACGAATAGACTTGTGTAAGCTTACTTTGGTTGAATCAATCGAATCCTAGATAGATATTTATTTGGGAAGCCATTACTTTATATTTAATTCATTCAGTGAGATTTAGGTATGAATACTGTTAGTTTACTCAATATTTAATGGTCATATCAAGCTACGAGATGTTTTTAATTTCTTTATTGTTCTTCCACATTTTACTTTGATTTCCTTTATACATTTTGGGGTATATCCCACGCTCTATCCGTGTAATTTGAGAGACAAACAAGAAACGATTCGTGATCTTCGAGCTTTGAGTGTGAGAGTAAACAGAAAAAGATTGTGGGATTCCAAAGAAAACAAACAGCTGTGTCGGCATCGCGTGGGTTCCCGGCTCCCTCGATCGCTGACCAGCTGTGGGCACCAGGCTGTCTGAGAGACCGAAGCGACCGATCTGAGAATATGTAATAATAATAATATGTAATCCCTTTCCCTCTGCCCTCTTCCTATGCAGTACACACCCGTGAAGCAGCCGGCGGACTCATCGTACAACATCATCACGCCCGTCGAAAGCGAACTGACCCCCATAACACCCAACACCCCTGTCCACCAGACCCAGACCACGTCACTACTGACGCCCCCCTCCAGCGAACAGAGCAAGAGCCTGGTGAGCCTCTCGGCCACTGGGCTGGACGCACTCCTCCAAAGCGAGGAGAGTCTGAAGAATCTGCGCAAGGTTTCCTCCTATCTGGAGTGCGAGAACGGACTGTGCCGGCAGGAGAATCTGCGGGAGCACTTCCACTGCCACGAGGAGCCCTGCCAGGGCAAGATCCTCAGCAAGAAGGACGACATCATCCGGCATCTGAAGTGGCACAAGAAGCGCAAGGAGAGCCTTAAGCTCGGCTTCGCCCGCTTCTCCTCCGCGGACGACTGCGCTCCGGCCTACGGAGAGGGATGCGCCTACAACTGGAAGCAGACGCACTACCACTGCGTCTACGAGCACTGCCCGAAGGTGTATGTGAGCACCAGCGATGTCCAGATGCATGCCAACTTCCACCGCAAGGACTCCGAGATCGTGAACGAGGGATTCCGACGGTTTCGGGCGCACGAGAACTGCCGCATCGAGGATTGCCCCTTCTTCGGCAAGAAGATATCCCACTATCACTGCTGCCGCGAGGGGTGCAATCACACGTTCAAAAACAAGGCTGATATGGGTAAGTCCACTCACCACTCTACTTCATCAGTATCCATATCTGATCCGTACGAATAAACTTTAGTTGTAGTCTAGTCTCCCCTTTACTAATCATAAAATGTTTCCCCTTAGACAAGCACAAGACCTACCATCTGAAGGACCATCAGCTGAAGATGGATGGCTTCAAGAAAATCCTGAAGACCGAGGTGTGCCCCTTTGATGCCTGCAAGTTCTCCACCGTCTGCAATCACATCCATTGCGTCCGCGAGGGCTGCGACTACATCCTGCACTCCAGCAGCCAGATGATCAGTCACAAGCGAAAGCACGACCGCCAGGATGGCGAGCAGGCCTATCAGCAGTTTAAATGCAGGCAGGAGGACGTGGGGGACTCGTCGCTGGAGGCCACTTCCCTGGAGCAGCCCCTAGGCGTGCCCCAGTCCCAAGTGGGCACCGCGTGCAGCAGTAGCAGCAACACCTCCACTCCACTCTCATCCCTCTCCGCCGAGCACTTTCTGTCCCGCAAACGTGGAAGGCCACCAAAGAAAATTGTACGTATATTTTACACGGGTCTAATGTGAAAAGAGAGATCTTCATCGGTATTATATCCACATATATATAATATATTCTCAACTAAATAATTTATCACTTGTTCTATCATTTACAGCAACTGCCGGCTGATGCACAGGAATCCGAGGCCAAGCGTGTCAAGGTCGAGAACGAGTCCTCCAATCCACCTTCCCTGATACTGCCCCCGTCCCAGCCCATTACCTCAGCCCACCCGATGGCCAATGGACTCTTCCCTGGTCTGCTGCCCGCCGCGGCTGCTCCTGCAGCGGATCCCACTGCCCCCAGCAACTTCCAGCTGACCCATCTGATGGCCCTCTTCCAGCTGCAGAACCCGCTCTTCTACCAGAACCTCTATCCGGGAGTGACCCAGCAGAACCCGAGCGTCCTGGGGAACCTGGCAGCGCTCAGTGCCGCTTCAGCAGCAGCGGCGGCGGCAGCGGCGGCGAATGGTGTCCAGCAGCCGAAGGCGGAGTTTAGCTTTAAGCCAGAGTTCAAGGAGTAGAAAGGATGTCTGTCCCCAGGGTAGTTTGTAATTAGCAAGATGGACAGACGGACTACACACGAAGCCTCTTTAGCTGATGGGGATGGGTTCTTTGGGGCTTAAGGCGGGACCAGGACATGACATCCTTCTTCCCTCCATAAAAGCCAACTCAGCCGCACTTTGTGGGGCTTCTCAAGTCCTCAATCAAAGTGCCGCCGAATTGGCTTTTGCTTAGATTACAATTTTCGAGTGCCACATTAATTTCTAAAATTTTCAGCCATCTTAAATAAATAAAAGAAGAAATTCTTCAACTTTAGTTTGACTAAAACTGTGATGTTTCCTTAGACTTGACTCCTCCTTAAATCAATAGGCCGGACATAGGGTAGATATTAAGCATAGAACATAGCAATATAAGCATTCCATTGTGTGATATACCTACAAATAATATATTGATAATTGTTTTCGCATTTTACAATTAAGAAGACCCATGTTATAATAAAGTGAAATCTAATTATATAAATTTAACTAATAGAGATCCCCTTACCTGAATAAATTATGCGAAATGTCTAAATATTATATTTAACTTAAAAACACAAATTTCTTATTATAATTGGAGTATTATATTTGCACTTTTTTTTAATTAATTGGGTCAGATTTCAGATTAAAACAAAAATATTGAATGATCTGAAATAAGTCAGGGATGAAGAAATGCGGATTATCATTAAAACATACCCCAGGAATATTAGTACATGGTAAGCATAAGAGATATCTCCGACATCATTGATCACCATAACTAACCGAGACGATTTAGCCATTTCTGCCTGTCTAAAATAACAAATCTCAGAGAATGTAAAAGTAAGAGGTACCAAAATTAGTGACAACATTTATATCAGATAAAGTTTGTTTTAATTCAACCGTCAGAATGCTATAATACATAGTGAATTTAGTGAAAAGTAAATATTTCTTTCAAATAACTACACCAGTGAAATCGTTTTCTGAGCAAATATGGAGTTATTAGACAATTAAATGTCTGTGTACATTGAACTCCCCTGCAGTACCGCATGTCATCAATAGGCCACTGTCATCGACTGTCATCAACTGCGACTTCTACCGAGGCGACGCTCTGACGACAGCGACTTCTACTAAGACGCTCTGCTCTACGGCGGTAGTCTAGACGGCAGTCGTCGGCAGGACCATGACCCGGCCGTTGAGAAATTTGTTGATGAAACATCGATGAATTGTTGATGAAACATCGATGAATTGATTATGAATTGTTGATGAATCATCTATTAATTGTTGATGAATTTTTATTGATAACAGCCTAGGACATGCCCATGTTAAATTCATCAACAGTTTGTATGGCCTGTGATTGATGAATCATCAACAGCACCCCCTTGACTCTTGATGAAACGTTGATGAATTACTGATGACAGGTACTGCAGGGTCTTACAACATCTACATTTATGTTGGCAACACCAATGGGTGATGCTCAACATGTACCTAGCAACAAATGTTTTTTTATAAGTGTTGCGCAAGATGTTCCTTGCAGTTATCAACATTTATATGCATTTGACAACTTTTTATTTGCGTTCCGATTTGTTAAATATAAGTGTTTGTAAATATTAACATAATAGTAAAAAGTAAATTATCAATATCAACGTTCCTTATTATTTCACTTGCAATGCTTTGGGTACAAGGCATCTTACAGTCGATCACATTCCAGAATAGTTTTCTGCATTTTAGACTCTGATATACATAGTCAGAAATTGGCAACGCAGTGAAAGGAGACATTCCCGACCCTATAAAGTATATATATTCCTGATCAGCATCAACAGTCGAGTCGATTTAACCATGTCATCTGTCCATTTCTACGCAAACTAGTCTCACAATTTTGAAGCTATCTGAATGAAGCTTTGCAGTTAGTCTTCTATATACTATCACTCGTATATAAGTCGGAATTATATAGCCATTTTGTATTCTTTTAGAAGTTCATTTTAAATACCAGACTATAGATGCCATACGGACGATCGAGATATTTTTAAAATTAAAAATGAAAACTTTTTCAGTGTTCAAAATATTTTCATTAAAATTTACATTTAGCCATTTTATATTATTCTAGAATTTCGGTATTAATAAAATAAAAATAAGACGACTATAAGATATAGCCTTATAAACTGAATGCAGTACTGTATATGTAAAACTGTAAATATAATAATTATAAGGTGAATGTAATGAATGTAGTGATCGAATTGCTATGATCGAATTCAAAAACTTTAAATTAAATTAAAGTACCTGAAAAGGTACACATTAACGTATCTTTTTAAACTCATACGTTATGATCATATAATTGTCATTTGTCCTTCCGTTTCTGTACCGTTACAATAAAGTAGTAAAGCAATCTTAAATTCTAGTTAACGTAAGGTATTAAGTATGTGTAACGTATTATGATTTAAAAAATGTTGAGTAAAACTTAATTATTATAAAAATTTTATTTCATAGAACTCCCCTTCCAATCCATTAAAGCCAAATAAAGAGAAGGTCAAAAGCTGTCCGCATCGGCATGTTCGATGTTTGTAGTCAATTGCCCAAGGTGCTTGCCCCCGAAAATGTGCAGCTATATAAGGACACTTAGCACCCAATCAGAATATAATATACGAAATCCAAATTGATTAAATAATTTTTGACTTTATTACTGTTTTCATGTAATTTTTGTTGTTGATTTTACCCATATTCTAACACAAATCAGCTACACAAACTCCGGACGCATGACAAAAGCGGATCCGGCTAAGCAATACGTAATAAGTACTTAACACAGAAGCAATTATTATTTTGATTTCGCCTTAATTTGCCGTTCATATTTGATAAGCACGAAAACAATCAATAGAATCCAAATACCATAATTATAAGTATAATAATGAAAGAGATATTTAGAAATTTGTTTCCTATTCAAGAACAATGTACAAACATGTGTCATCGGAATCGTTTTTATACATTAGGTTTCTGACTCTAGTTTACATACATTGCAAAGCAAAACCCTGGGAGAAATGTACAAATATATAACTAAACTAAGTATAATAGTGTTATGAACTAAATGGTCTCTAGAACTAAAGAAACACGAAAATCAACAAGTACAAGATACTAAGTAAATTCGTTAAGTATTAGGTCAATGGTAAGAGGGGAGAAACTAAAACAAGCTTAACTGTCGCATTAATGCTTCCTTTGATTTGGGTTTTCTGTGTATTTTTTATACTTGCTGCTGCCTAAGATTATAAGCTTCGAGTACGATAAAAAACCTTGAAAAAGCATTATCCAATTCCACATCCTCTAAGCATATAGACTCGCTTAATATTCTTGGGGTCATTTATAACGATTGCGTAACTTTGGGGGCAATATATATTATATGGCAACATTTTGTGCGCGCCTCGAAAACGAAGTACTTAGTTGTATCTTATAGGCTGGAGTTAATGGTATCTAAGCCGCAACATAGGAGGTTATGAGTAGCGTGGGGGTTCGGTGTTCAGTGTTCAGTGTTCCTTCAAACTGCATTGATCCTGCCCTAATCGCGGTAGAATCCACGGAGCAGCTTGCCAATGAATCAGAACCGTTAGCTGCGACCGGTGGCCGCTCCGGCTGCCTGCGGCGGCGCAAGTTCCACGGGCACCGGCGCCACTCCCACCATCGTCGCCTCCGTGCTGGACTGATGCTGCACACCGCCCAGCGCAATGGCGCGCATATGGTGCACGGGACGAATGGACTTGAGCTGCGTGGTGCCCTTGAAGCGGACGTTTACATCGCCACCGACCATGCTGAGCGGGTGCATGGCCTGCGGCTCCTCTTTGGGCTCCTCCCGCGGCAGCATGGCAGCCGTTGTCATTGCCGGCGGCACCTGTTCCATATGCGCCGGCGAGGGTGCCGTGGTGATGGCAACGCCATAAATCTGGCGTTGGGCCAGCGGGGAAAGCGCTGGTGGTGTTGTCCGGTAGCCCATGCGACTGAATATGCTGCTGCCGCTGCTGTTGCTCGCCGTGCTGGGCGGACTGAGGGGTGTACCCACGCCCGAGTCCACCTCTAGGGGACTCTTGATGTTCGCCACGAACTTATCCACATGCTCGGGCAGCTTCAGCTCGTTCAGCTTGGTTTGCATGACGGTCTGGGCACTGGCGCTGTCAAGGAGACGATTGGGTCGCGACGGTGGCGTCGGGGATGCCACCGACTCGCTGGTATTGGAGGACTGCAGGCCGTTGAGGCGGTGCTGCTGCTGCTGCTGGCGCAACTGCTCAAAAAAAGGTGTCTTCTCCTTCTTCTGCTTTTGTGGCGAACCATGTTCGTCTCTTTCGGTCAGTTCTTCGAGGACCTTGAGTGGAAACCCCAAGTGACTGTTGACAGAAACGGATTTGCCGATCTTGCGCTCGGCGAAGATGGGTTTGCGTCGCTGGCGCTCCAGGTCGTCGAGCTGCTGGAGCATGCGTCTCACCTCATTGGGCAGCTCCAAGTCGGGATTGTGCTCAACTAGCTGGCCGACGTAGCGACCGAGGGTCTGGATGGTCAGCTCCAGTGACTGCACCTGTGACTGCAGCGAGGTGATTTGAGCCTGTTGCGAGGAGCGCGTGGTCTCCAACTGGGCAATCGAGGATTGGGCAAACTGCAACTGCTGCTCCAGATGCTGGTTCTGGGTCTTCTCCCTGTTCAGCATTTCCAGGTGATGGTTGGTGGTGGTAATCTCCTCCTGCAGCACGTTGTACTCCACATTGTACTCGGCCAGCTGCTTGCCAATGTCCATGGTGAAGACCAGCTTCATGATTTGCTCCATACAGCCGGCCTCTATCTTAGGCACCACCGTCTTCAGGTAGTCCATGATCTCCTCAAAGTTATCCTTGGCCAGCAGCTGCTGCTTGTGCACGGACAGCAAGGCGATGGCGAACTTGAAGATAACGTCGGAGGACTCCAGGAAGAGCAGATCGAATACGCGGGCCACAAAGCCCAGCGGAAACTGCGAGCTGAAGACGGTGAGAATCCAGGGGGCCGCATACAAGGTGGGCGACACATCGTTCTGATCGAGCCACACGTACAGATCCGGCAGGTGGTCCTTGACCAGGCGGGAC